AAATCCACATGCCGCTCGACAATTTCTCTTATTTTTGGACTCGGTTCTGTAGATGCATCAGCCGGCAATGGCTCTTCTCTCTGGTTTGCTCATTCAATCACCCACTCTATCCATTCGCTCTTTCTCAATTTCCTGCCGCTCTCCTCCAAGCTGTCATCTGTCCACTTCCTCCCCGTGACTGTTTTATGGCACTGTCAAAGCAAACTGCATATTGAGCCTCTTTTCCCTTCGGTAACTTCTTTACCCCTCCACTTCCTCCTCCACCAGCACCCAATCTCTTTGCTATTCACGTCCCTTGCTCTCCTCTGTCCTAATAGCTTAAGTTTTCCCCCCTTTAAATGCCACAGTGCTGGTGGGTTGAGATAAGAGGAAGAGGAAGTGAGAGAGGTCATACTGGAACTCTTTCAAAGTTAAAAGGGATAGTTCACTCAAAAATAATATTAAAATATGATATATATCTAAATGTTTTAGATAATATTTTACTATATTTCATATTTTTTATATTTATATTAAATCTTGAAGAATATTTTGACTGCTTTTGTCCATTCAATGAAAGTCATTGGGATCCAAAAACACAAACTGTTTCAAAATGTCATCAAAGAATGTCATTCAGGTTTGGAGATACCAGTGTTATTTTAGCTACTATATTTTGAATTTGAATTAGATTTAATTTTTTATTGTATTTTTAGTTTTTATTTTGTAATTGAATTGTCCTTTTGTGATTTATTATAGTTTTTGTTTTTATATTTCTTTTTAGCTTTATTTTTAGTACTTTTACTATGTCAACTTGAACTTGAAATTTCAGTTTCCCATTTTAATTTTTTATTTAGGTTTTCCATCTAATACTTATATTTTATTTTATTTCAGCTTCCTTTAAATTATAGAAAATTATTTTTAATAGCTTAAGTTTTGCTTACAAAAACAAATCTGGGAAAGACGATGCTGACGGAATTCTTTTTTTTTTTTTTTTTTTGGTGAACCATCCCTTTAAAAGGAGAATACTGTCATAGATGTTATACTTCCTACGGTTTTCACATACAGTATGGTTTGAGGTTACGTTTGCATATCCAAATTAGAATAGGGGAATGTTTACTGGAAAAAACAAACGTCTATGTAAATCATAGAGATGAGTAGTGCTTATGAAATAGATAGAGCCTTGTAGTATTCTCCAGTAGGCAAATGCAGCACAGCTCGCCTACTCGTGTCATGTGCAATTGATAGCTTTGTATGTGTGTGTGCCAGTATGTTTGATTGTGTTGCTACTTATTATTTTATGGTGAATTCAGATCATAAACTCTAATCAAATTAGATACAATTGCACCTTTCATTTCCATAATTTCAATTCGACAACCCAATTTGCTGGCCTTTTACAAGCTCTGTCTACCACTGTACTTGTCAGTTTGTTAAAAGCTTCCCATAAGTTAAATCTCAGCAAAACCCCTCCCAGCCGCCAAACGCTCGTCCCCTGTGACAACGCTATGTCGCAATTAGAGTTGGGTTACGGGTGGAGAGCAGGAGGGGTGAGTGTTGAAGAAGAGAGGCAGTATATCAAACGGGAAAACTGAACAGATGTGTGGACAATGGCAAATGTGCTGATGGAGGGCCACGTGTAAAGAAATTGCCGCCGTGTTGTTGTGTATTTGCTGAGGCACTGCAGACTTCACTCAAAGACACAAATCCACATGCCGCTCGACAATTTCTCTTATTTTTGGACTCGGTTCTGTAGATGCATCAGCCGGCAATGGCTCTTCTCTCTGGTTTGCTCATTCAATCACCCACTCTATCCATTCGCTCTTTCTCAATTTCCTGCCGCTCTCCTCCAAGCTGTCATCTGTCCACTTCCTCCCCGTGACTGTTTTATGGCACTGTCAAAGCAAACTGCATATTGAGCTTCTTTTCCCTTCGGTAACTTCTTTACCCCTCCACTTCCTCCTCCACCAGCACCCAATCGCTTTGCTATTCACGTCCCTTGCTCTCCTCTGTCCTAATAGCTTAAGTTTTCCCCCTTTGTTCTTTCACTGACACCTAACATCTATCCCATAATCCCGTGTGCTGGTGCAGCAACTTTTCCCCTTGTCAGGGTGGCTACGTGCCTCATTCACTGGAGAGGAACGATTGAGACAGCATTGACCTCCCTTCGCGCCTCGTGCCGTCCTCAGAGGGACCCGGTTTGACTCATCGAGCCACACCCTATACGGTGCCAAACGTGGCTCGATTATGCTGTCAGTGGCCTGTAAATCAACTAAACTGGAAGTGCTTTATATCACAGTGATCATCGAGAGGGTTAGGGGTCTGAATTATTACCATCAGCCTGAGCAATAAAAACGGCACAGGAACAAGATGGCTAGTTTTGGAATGAGTTACAGTTTGTTTGGGGTTTGGAACGATGGAATCATGAATGGCTGCTGTAACAGAGATGGAAGACTTCGCTCAAATGAGTTGAAATTATTTACTCATAAAGCAGAGAGTTAAATCAGAATAGTGAACTAGAGAATACAGGCCTTGATGTTAACTGAAGTGGGCATTTGATTCGACTCAATTTGTCTTCTTACATAAACTTCTGTTTGTTACAGAAAAATGCATTCAGGTTTTCATCTTGGGTTCTTCCATTATGATGTAGCTCTTTAACTTTATAATATAAGTAACCTGACGTGTGTCAACAACAAATTGTGTATTATTTAATGAATCTATTGTATAATATTAAATATTTTAAATCAAACCGGGATTAAATTAAAGAGCAATGTTTTAATAAGTCCATTTCTTCTTTTGTATTTGTTTGTTTTTCCACCTCTAATGCTGTTTTTTATTATGTGTCTGCTGGTTTATTTCTCCATAATTTTTGAAAGAATACACTGATGACACACTGGTTTTGACTATTTCTACGAATCTGTAAATTAATGTTGCATTAAAATTGTGATGTAATGGAAGTAGCAACTGATCATTTCTTCTGTATTGCAACGTTCATCCAAGTAAAATGGATTATCGGAAAAATTAAATATGTAGAGCAGGACTTGGTTCTATCCATTGTTTGTTGATTAGATAGATAGAGGCAGATCTGAATGTGAGCTTGTAAGAAATGGGCGGTTTTTCGCGGACTTAATGATTGGGGAAGTTTGGCATACATCATCAGAGAAAAGTCTGTTGTTTCACTAGGATGACTGAGTTATAGCATCTTGATTACAAAGTTTTATTACAAAACAACACAGTTAAAAAAAATGAAAAATTAAACATGCGTGGATGAATCAATGAAGTTCAGTAACATGCATTTAGAAAATAAATAGGGTGAATTTCCATTTCATGCTGACTTCAATAATTCTTTTGAAGGTTGATCATAAAGAACCAGTCTTCTTCCATGACAAAATCAACCATGAGCTATTGAATTTCAGTGTGTAATCAGTGATTTTGTCATAGATAGATGCTGATGTTGCTCACTGCGCCATGGGAGAGAGAGAGAGCATCTCATGCTGCTATCTGTGTCTTGATATTACTTAATATCTCATAGATATTAGGCTAAAATCAAATCAAATGGAGTTTTGTTCATGTTTGTACGTCTCTCATATAGAATATGATAAAATAGGATGTTGAAACTGGTTTATAAACAATATAAATTCTAGAATAGAATTATACTCTATTAAACAGATAATCGAACAGAACAGGTTCTTTAAATTATAGGCTACTGTACAGTGTTCCTTATACTATGATTGGAATTATTGACCCTGGACCACAAAACCAGTCTTAAGTCGCTGGGGTATATTTGTAGCAATAGCCAAAAAAACATTGTATGGGTCAAAATTATCGATTTTTCTCTTATGCCAAAAATCATTAGGATATTAAGTAAAGATCATGTTCCATGAAGATATTTTGTAAATTTTCTACCGTAAATATATCAAAACTTAATTTTTGATTAGTAATATGCTTTGCTAAGAACTTAATTTGGACAACTTTAAAGGTGATTTTCTCGATATTTAGATTTTTTTGCACCCTCAGATTCCATATTTTCAAATAGGTGTATCTCAGCCAGATATTGTCCTATCCTAATAAACCATACATCAATGGAACGCTTATTTATTCAGCTATTTTATTCCGGCTAAAATTGAGCCTTATGACTGGTTTTGTGGTCCAGGGTCACATATGATCAAATCAGCTGAACTTGTGCTTTGTGGAGCTGAATAAAACATAACTAAACCAGTCATGTTGTAATCTGTCTGTTTGCTTGGTGTGTCTATATTTGCAATTTATTTATTTATTTATTCATTTCCTTCCCATACATTCAAATCAACCATTCAATGTCTTTGGCCTATATATAGTTCTGCGCAGTAATCTCAAATTCTAATTAATTACAGACTAATTCCACACTGATTCTTGGAATAATGTACTGCATTAATAATTCTTTTGAAGAAGGCTGATCAGAAAGACAAACACACCCTCTCCTGACACACCATCTATCCTCAGGAACTGTGAGTGGTGAACGTATAGGCTGATCTGTAAGCATCATTCACCTACAGCCTTTGTATGCAATGCCACTTTATTCTGCAGCCTCTCTGTGTTTTACACCATCTCAGATCGAAATAAAACTGCATTTGTGATCATGTTTCCGCCAGACGTGTAACATGAGCAGGTTTGGAGAACAGAGAGTGTGTGCCGAAACCTAGCGAGCTAACGGTACCTAAAAAGACTATTTTTACGCGTTCGAACGTTATACGCCTCAAAATGCGGACTAGGTAGGCAACTCGCTAGGTTTGAAGACACAGCCAGGGTGTGAGGGTTTTTTGACACACATTTCTGTTTGTAGTAAACATATCAGCAAGTAAATAAGCACTTAACTGAATAGACGTGTTTTTAATGAACCAGCAGACGATGAAGAATCACTTTTCGCCCTTTCATCGCAGATTACAAGCCGAATGAAGTACCCAAATCAGTTTCCTCAGACAAACGCACGGCCCCGTTCCTCACAGCATTATCCGCCGCGAGACTGTCACGCGGAAACGAAAGCATTTTACCTGCTCGAGCGCTGAGAGCTCTTTCTCCAGCTGCCGGTGTTTGTTATGCCACACCAGATAATGCAGGTGGTAGCGACTCTTCTCCGGAGTTTTTCTGGCAGAAATCATCCTCGGTGCATAGTTCGCCGCTGCTTTCTCCCCCGTTCCGTTTCCCTGCTTTTGTGCGATATCAGTTACTTTTATAAAGGGCGCGTACTATATTATTATTATTACTGAAACGACCGCTAAGGGGATTTCTCTCCCTTTTCTTATCCAGCATCGCGTTTTGCATAGTAGCTTGGCATTCAGTGTGTCTGTGTTGAAGGCGATTTAAAGATTGTGTTCATGGATGCTCTCCGTTCTGTTCTCCACTCCCCCTAGTCTCTTCTCCCTCTCACACACTCAAACGCACGCACGCACGCCCGCTCGCTCGCGGAGGCTGAGGTAGGGCTCTCGTTTCGCCGATGAAAGCGACTCAGTCACACCTATGAGCCATTGAACTTCAGTGTGTGATTCTGTCATACATGCAGATGCTGCCCACTGCGCCGTGCGCATCCTCATTCTGCCATCGCTGTCTTAATATTACTTAATAAATATCTAATGGACGCAGTAGCCTTTATTAACAGAACACAGTTCGGTTCTAGAATTGTGTTTTTAATGGAACAGATAATAGAACAGAACAGAACATGGTGTTTGTATATTATTGTGCTGATGTTGTCACTAATATCTGTCTAATTTGTTCTTTTATCCATACCATGCTTAACTAGTATTAACCTTATACAATATGACCAAATCAATTAGTACAAAACTTAAACTTCTGCTGCTCTATTGAACTGAATAAAAATAAAATGAATCAGCTATGTTCTCGTCTATTTTATTTGGTCTCAATAAATACTCCTTGACTCCAAAAGAATCAAATGGAGTTGTATTCATTTGTTAGTAGCCTATTAAATCTAGTAGGCTACTTCCATTTAGAATAGAATTGACTTGATTTATTTTCTATAGTGCTGATATTATTATCTTTTGCAGGAAGTGATCCATCCCATTCACCCATCTAAACAGGGGACTAGACATAATATTAGCACAACTGCATATATATGATCAAGGAGAGATTTTTTTTCATCAACTTCATTAATAATATTTTTATTTATTTTACAATATTTTATTTTTATTACAATTTTTAATTGGAATTTCTTTAGAACATTCAGCCCATTCTTCATATACTTACAGGAAAAAAACATACAGTGTATTTCAAAGGGGTTTCCAGAAAAAAAAAATCTGCACATGTATTTAGGAATAGTTCACCCAAAAATGAAAATTGTGATGTTTTTATCAGCTGTTTGAACTGTCATTCTGACAGCACCCATTCTCTGAAAACGATCCATTGGTGAGCCAGTATGAAGAAACAAACTCATCCACATCTTGCAAATTTCACTGGATTATGGGGACATATTTAGAGAAGAAGCAACGGTTTAAAGTTGAAATGCCTTAATGATGGATTTATTTCTTACAAACAATCAGCTTTTCACTTCACAAGACATCAATTGATGCATTGGAGTCACATTTATTACTTGTGGATTATTGTGATGTTTTTATCGGCTGTTTGGACTCTCATTCTGACGGCACGCATTCGCTGCAAAGATCTATTGGTAAGCAAGTGATATAGGCTAATGCTAAATTTCTTCAAATCTGTGCCAATGAAGAAACAAACTCATCTACATCTTGAATGGCCTGAGGGTGAGTAAATTTTCATTTTTGGCTGAACCATTCCTTTGATGTGTTTAGAATAGAATAGAATAGAATAGAATAGAATGTGGAGGACCAGTATTAAAATATATTACAGTATAGGGTATTTTTCATATTTAATTTACTGAATAAAAATGTACAAAAACATTGCTTTTTCTATTATACTTCATTTGGGGATTGTAGATATCCTATGTAAATAATCTTATGTAAAATTCATCTCCACTGGTGGGCATGACTTCATGGTCCCTCTGCTCTGTCTGCCCCCGCCTGTAACGACGGTGGGGCGAGAGGGAAAGCGAGAGACAGACTATGCAGCCCGCCATACAGAAGTGTATAGGGCAGTAGATGTAAATAAACCGTGTACTGTATCCATACTTTTCTTATTCCCACCCCCTTTTGCCCGAGACAGAGACGGGGCTTGGATGATCGGGGGAAAAGATTAGTGGGGGCATTCAAAATTAAATAATCTGATAACGTAAAGGGCCTTCTAAAAATTTGATTAATTTTAAGGAATCGTAAAGTCCTTGTAGCGGTAAGACAGAAGACACCGCAGGAAAAAAAGGAAGGAGAGAGAGAAGGGTGAGGACCGGGAGTGTTGGGGAGCTCGTCGCCGGCTTCCGGACATTCGGGGCGGCATTGAAATCGCAGACGTCGCTCCTGGGGGAAAGCAAGCCAAATATCGTTGGTATTGGACTAAAATCCCTGGAAGCGGTAGATTTTGTTTCAGCGATGTCCAGGAAAGTCCAAAGAAGCGAAGTTTGCGCCGACTGCAGTGCACCAGGTAGGGCTGAGATTTATGGATCGAGGCGTTGTTGTGAGCCATGACTGTCCGAGACTCGCTTGAGCGCGGCGGCAAGCGGTGAACACCAAGCCCGCGAATGCACAGGGATACTCGGTTAAACGCGTCAGGAAAATGCCCGAAAATTAAGGCCCATACGGCGGCCCAACAAGTCAGCTAATTCAAAACCACTCTAAATTAAAGACTGAATCAATATGTGGGTTATAATACGACAGAACAGTAGGTGTTCATAAACTATATCCTTTACTAAACTTCTGTGACTATAAATTTGAGGTGTTATTGCAGCTTTGCTACCGTGGCTACAGTTTTAGCCGATGCTTGTTGTTAGCATCTATCCTTAGCTTATTGACGATAGAGGTGCTGTTAATTAAAAGCACTATATTTATGCTATACGCGGGACCTTTTATATGTGCATTTTGTAGTGAGAGAAAATTATGTTGATTAAAAGTAAGTTTTAGTTCATATTGAGCACAAAACAGGCTCTGTATCGAACAATGCTAACTGACAGTAAGCTAGACTCGGTTGCTAAGTAGCCTGCGGACTGTCGTGTGACTGCCTTGCCAGTATTTGAGTAAAACATATTTCTGTGTTTAAAATCTGTAAATGCATTATAGCTACGAGGAGTACTAGTTCAGTTTGTCCAGTACTGTTTCAAATCTAGTTAACTTGGGCTGAGGCGAGTTAGCTTAACTAGCGTTAGCAGGTTGACAGGACACATCACACTGACGTGGGTCAGACTTTGCTCGTGTTTTTGTGCACCACTTTGTTTCTAGATAGCGTTTTCGTGGGTAGATATTGTTTAGTGGCACATTTCCTGAATGTGTATTTGTTCATTAATTTGTTTTGTTAATTACTTGTACGATATGTTGTTTCAAAGTGTAGTATGTTTACATAATAAAACAGGGATATTTCTGTATGCTATTGCATAATTATGAAAGTGAATTGATTTGTTGTTATTCTTTATTGTTCTTAAAGTGGGCTCGCATAACTGAAACATTACATTTCATTGCTGGAAAAAAAAATGTTGAAACCAGCCTAAACTGGTTTACTAGTCTTAGCTGTTTTAAGCTGGTCTCCCAGTCTGGCCAAGCTGTTGTGTAGCTGATCTTCAAGCTGGTCTTCAAGCAGCTTTATGCTGGTTTAAGCTGTTTTTAGCACAGTTGGCCTTCATAAAATGATCAGTACAGTATTTCTGCAATGATTATGAGCAATGGCAGAATCACGGAAATTATATATTGATTTATTTCTGATATATTTTGTTGAAGGTTACTACATAGTTGAGTAGGCTATAGTTTTGAGTTATATCCATTTTTAGTCCCATCACGCCCTTCTTGGACAAGGCACAATTTCCTAAATGCTACAGGGAAAAAAGATGGAGGTTGGCATTGCATTTATATTTTAAATAAAGAGGAACTTCCTATGTTTGACTGGCTTTTCTTAGCTGTTTGTCCCAGAAAGCAGTGCTCAATACGTTTACAAGCAAGTTAGGACATAATAAAGCCTTCAGTTGTTTACGAAACATATTTTTGAATCCGCTCAGCTGTGCCGTCACTTCAAGCCCGCCCTTGGCCTTGCTCATTTTGCCTCACCGTCCCCATGGGGGAGAACGAGGGGTGGTACGGGGGGCATGACAGCTGCTCCCTCATGCACAGCTGCTCTCTCTCCAGGACTGAACGTGTATGTGGGAGAGCGTCTCATTTTTGACAGTTTAGTTCTGTTTCACCTCCTCAGCTACCTGCGGTCATGCTCAAAGTTCGGCCGCCAGCGCTGTCACCGGTGCCCCTGGCTGACGACTCCACATCTGAGGGCTTGGGTGTCTTTTTTTTTATCCTTACACACTCGGCATCCTTGTGTTGGCCTGTCCTGCGGTGCTAATAGAGCTTGTCATTTTCGTGTTTGACATGTTGTAGGAATGTAGATAATGGTGAGTGTGTCGAAAAGTGAGGAACTGATGACTGAGAGAGGAGGAGGCGGAGGCGGGCAGACAGACGGATGCATTCTAGTAAATGTATTATGGGTATGAATGAACGTGTGGAAGATTGTCAATTGCATGGCCACTGAGGGCTGAATGGCGCCGCGTGTGTGAGCATTAGAGTGTGTACACTTGAAATTTCATTATGAGCAGAGAGAATCTCTCGTTTGAGATGTTAATGGTTTCAAGCACTTATAGGAAGGACGAGCGTGTTCGTTAAGAAGTATGGCATCATCTTTGATTTTCCCATACGCAGGTGCTCGGCTCCATATCTGTGAACGTCTGGCCATCTTTACACCGATAAAGGGATGATGCTGTATTATTTACAGTTAAGCCAATAATTCTAAAGTTCTTCACCACATACAAGATTCAAACTGTTGGCTATAATATGAACATTTGGCGGATTAAAATAAGCCATGTCTTTTTCTAAAATAAGGAAACAAGCAGGCCTTTTACTTAAAGATTTTTTGATTAAAATATCCAAAAACCACTAGAACAGTGTTATATATTTTGCTGACTTGTGTACTTACATTATCCCAAATGTTTCGAGAAATGTTTAAATCCAGAGAAATAAGCAATTTTAACTAGTGACACGCCTGCCAATGACGTCATAACCCCTCGATTTACGGTTTTGTTTTGTAGAAAACATGGAAACACCAAAGACACTTTAATATGTTGTGCGTTTTAATAGACCGGTGACGACCGCACAGAGTAGCATTATAACAGAACTTTCAAATGTATCTAGTATGATAAAACAGCGCTGCTTTTTCCCCCACATACGCACGACCGGAAGAAGCGGAAGTGGTTGACTGCGTCATAATAAAAGCTCCGCTGCTTTCGA